TTGGAATTTAAGTTTTATTAAAAACTTCTTAATATTATGTGGTCCAATCACATATCACTGAAGAGGCCACCATGAACACAGCTCAATCCAGACAGGTTGAGAAAGCTGCACTAATGTTCGTAAGTGAAACACGGGTGAATTTTTGTCCTTCAAAATGCCATTAGATTCCATGCTATTTCGGAGTACTGCATTACATGAAGCTATTTCATGCATTTCAACAGTAACGCTTGACATTATGCACAATAAAGTGGCTTTTTAATATTACAGCTAGAATAATTTTTTTAATAACTTTCCAACCATGTCTGGCACATAAAGGATATTTTTTCAAACATCCACACACACACATTTTGCACATGCAATTGTACTTGCCACCCAAGTAAATAACAAAAAAAAAAAAAAATAGTTTTCTTCATGAACTCCTATGCACAACAGATTGCTGACTAGGTTAAGAAAAACATACAGCATTACCCAAGATGGTAAACTATAAAAATTAAAAATCCTGTCACATTATGACAAATTAAACATAAATGGGGAAGACTATACTTTAAAGATGGTTTCTCTTTACAATACAATTTTTACTTAAGATAAACTGAACAAGAAGAATTTAGATTAAGATACTCAACTGCAGCTCGGAGATAAAATTATATTTAAATAGTATAAACCAGTGATCCTCAACTTTCCTACACAAGTGAGTCATAGTTGATGGTCAAATGTGCAATGAGAGCCACATGGTTTTGTTGACACTGTGCAGTGTGGAACCAACATAAAAGTAAACTCATAATTTCATGTGAGGGCCGCATTCATTTTCTAGAAGGGCCACATGTGGCCCGCAGGTTGGGGATCCCTGCTATAAAAACAATTAGAAAAATTCTTAAAAATATAGAGATGAAGGTACGCTGGTTCTTTTGAAATATACCTTGGCAACCTATTTGTGCAGAGGATAAATGGGGCGATCAGTCCATAAAACATTAAGAACTAAATAACATAGAAGAAAATAACAGTTTTTAGCCTGCCAGGTTCCATATAGGAAAAAATGCCTACAAATTGTAGTTAACTATTTTGGAAATACATACACAAACAATGAGCTTATGTACACAAAGATGGGCACAAGATACTAGACACTTCACTTAAGTCACTAAAATGCTCTTCTATAACGGTATCAGTGAAAAGCTTTCTCCATTAGTGACTGAAAGCTCAATCTACACATTTTCTTGTAATAGTTTTGAAGGGATAAGCCTCTTGAAAAATTGGGCACTTGGCTTTCCAAAGACATAACAACCTTGAAAAGTTAGTTCTATCACAACCAGGTGACAAAATACAGCAAAAATTTACTATGAAACTGTATGGTATAATACCAAATTATATAAACGGTCAACATTACTTACAAAAATCTTCAGACACAGCCTAAGAACTAGATATTCAAAATTACCAACATTTCCAACAGTGGCCAATGTTCTCCTACCTGTGGCTTGTAGAGAAGTTCAATGGCCCAAGGCAATTAATGAGTTGAGCATATGAGTGACAGTAAGCTGGAAGTGGACGTACAAGAATAATTCCTAACCTAACTTGGAAATGAAAGTCTAATGGCACAATTAGGCTCTTAATGATTTAGAAACTAATCAGATAATTCAACATAACTGCATAACTTAAGAAAGCACAGGCAACATTCTCAAAAGAAAATGAAATCTTTCAAACAACTTTTAAGCACCAGAACTTTGACATCCATTGCAGTTTACAGTCCCCATTTACTAAAGATTAAAATACTAATGACTATATTGCTCAACGTACAGTATTCTCATCTTGTTCGTCCTTCTTCTTCTTCTTTTTCTTTTTCTTCTTCTCACCAACCTGTAAAAATTTTTTTTTAGTCATGCACAATTCATCTACCTAAAGAATGATTAAGTTTGGCAAGAGAGCCTAGTTTATTATTTTTATTATCACACTGGCCGATTCCCACCAAGGCAGGGTGGCCCGAAAAAGAAAAACTTTCACCATCATTCACTCCATCACTGTCTTGCCAGAAGGGTGCTTTACACTACAGTTTTTAAACTGCAACATTTACACCCCTCCTTCAGAGTGCAGGCACTGTACTTCCCATCTCCAGGACTCAAGTCCGGCCTGCCGGTTTCCCTGAACCCCTTCATAAATGTTATTTTGCTCACACTCCAACAGCACGTCAAGTATTAAAAACCATTTGTCTCCATTCACTCCTATCAAACACACTCATGCATACCTGCTGGAAGTCCAAGCCCCTCGCACACAAAACCTCCTTTACCCCTCTCTCCAACCTTTCCTAGGCCGACCCCTACCCCGCCTTCCTTCCACTACAGACTGATACACTCTTGAAGTCATTCTGTTTCGCTCCATTCTCTCTACATGTCCAAACCACCTCAACAACCCTTCCTCAGCCCTCTGGACAACAGTTTTGGTAATCCCGCACCTCCTCCTAACTTCCAAACTTTCGAATTCTCTGCATTATATTCACACCACACATTGCCCTCAGACATGACATCTCCACTGCCTCCAGCCTTCTCCTCGCTGCAAACATTCATCACACCATGCTTCACACCCATATAAGAGCGTTGGTAAAACTATACTCTCATACATTCCCCTCTTTGCCTCCAAGGACAAAGTTCTTTGTCTCCACAGACTCCTAAGTGCACCACTCACTCTTTTTCCCTCATCAATTCTATGATTCACCTCATCTTTCATAGACCCATCCGCTGACACGTCCACTCCCAAATATCTGAATACATTCACCTCCTCCATACTCTCTCCCTCAATCTGATATTCAATCTTTCATCACCTAATCTTTTTGTTATCCTCTAACCTTACTCTTTCCTGTATTCACCTTTAATTTTTCTTCTTTTGCACACCCTACCAAATTCATCCACCAATCTCTGCAACTTCTCTTCAGAATCTCCCAAGAGCACAGTGTCATCAGCAAAGAGCAGCTGTGACAACTCCCACTTTGTGTGTGATTCTTTATCTTTTAACTCCACGCCTCTTGTCAAGACCCTCGCATTTACTTCTCTTACAACCCCATCTATAAATATATTAAATAACCACGGTGACATCACACATCCTTGTCTAAGGCCTACTTTTACTGGGAAATAATTTCCCTCTTACCTACATACTCTAACTTAAGCCTCACTATCCTCGTAAAAACTCTTCACTGCTTTCAGTAACCTACCTCCTACACCATACACCTGCAACATCTGCCACATTGCCCCCCTATCCACCCTGTCATATGCCTTTTCCAAATCCATAAATGCCACAAAGACCTCTTTAGCCTTATCTAAAGAGGTCTTTGTGGCATTTATGGATTTGGAAAAGGCGTATGACAGGGTGGATAGGGGGGCCTAGTATTAATGACAATTAAACTATAAATGTTAAATTACATATCTGAACCTACGTACAGAAATTGAGTGAGGGGCTAGTACCTGCTCCAGCTTATCTTTCAACAATTATTCAGGGAAAGTAAGAAAAAGAGGGGATGGGGAAACAAAACCAGCTCTTTGAGTAATGGGGGACATTCAGATTTGATTAAAATAGGAACAAGCAGTTTCAATTCCACAGATCAAGAGTCCTTGACTGGCATCAAAGAACCTCTCTTGCAGGGTTAACTTTCAAGAGACAAAATGCAACTGGGCCCTTTCATCATTTTTTAAAATTCCTCTGTGGTGTCAGCTTACACTGTGTCTATGCTCAGCTCATTCCAGTTCTTTTCAAATCTCATGTTGAAATATTTATTTTTGATATCCCTATATATGGGTCACCCTACCTGGGTGGAAGACAGCAAGTGTTTAAAAACACATCTTAGGCTTATCTGGGCATGTAATTTCAGACCACTTATTAAAGTAACAAGTCCAGTAAAAAGCCTATCCTTGCATACTAAGTCTATCCCCTGTAGTATTTTGTACGCTGTGATCATATCCCTTCGTTGCTTCAGCAGCATTCTTTCTTCATAGCTAATTTCTCTTTATTCCACCAGTGAGTGTGCAAGAGAAGACAATGAAGAATGTACTATTGAGATGTAATAACTAAATGAGGTTTGTCAAACCCAAAATCATAATACCGCAAACTGAGAAAGTGTTCTTCTGTTAAAAATCCCCAGTCCTGTTTATAATTCCTAGAACATCTCTATAAAACACATTTAGTTTAATTGTTACGAATGATTAACTATGCATGTGATTTTTAATATGCAACAAACTTTTGGCAATACATCAACCATAACATGTTATACACTGCAGTCTTACCTCTTCTGGTAATTCCTCTACAACCTCTTGCTTTATTTCAGTTGCTTCTTCTCCACCTTGTTCTTCAAGCTTCTTCTTTTTCTTCTTCTTCTTTTTCTTCTTTAGTGAAGGATCAGCAGTAGAAGTGTCCTCCGCACCTGCTTCCGTGGTGGAGGCCTCGGATCCTTCACTCAGCTTGCGCTGTAAGACAGTATATATAGCGCAAACTGTACAAGCATAGTAAATAAATTCAAGTATTAATACCAGTACAGTGGAGCCTCAACTTATGAGTGTCCCAACATACGATTTTTTCGAGATAAAAGCCGTCGCTAAGTCAATTTTTTGTTCCGAGTTAAGAGCGAGCTCCCCCCTCAACCCACAACCTGCACACCTCGCTTGTTTATCTATGATTTCATGCTTTAATTTCATAGACACCATCCTCTTTTTCTTCTCAGCACTGTCCTTTGCACTTACTTTCTTAGGACTCATGATTAGAAAAACGAAATTTGGCAAAATAACTGCACAAAATGCAAGCAAAACATGAGAGAAATGCTTCCATGGCGAGGTAAACAATGCACTAAGTTGACGACATTCTGAAGCTCCTCATTTTTTTTTTTCAACAAATTGGACGTCTCCTACTGAGAAAGGGTGACCCAAAAAGAAAGAAAATCCTTTCATCATCATTCAACACTTTCACTTCACTCATACATAATCACTGTCTTTGCAGAGGCACTCAGATACGACAGTTTAGAAGTCCCTCCAAATTGCCAATATCCCATACCCCTCCTTTAATGTGCAGTCACTGTACTTCCCATTTCCAGGACACAAGTCCGACTAAATCTATAATAAACAGTTTCCCTGAATCTCTTCCCGAAATATTACCCTGCTCACACTCCAACGGCTCGTCAAGTCTCATTATTATTATCACTATTATTATTATTACTATTCTTTCTTTCAACACACCGGCCGTATCCCACCGAGGCGGGGTGGCCCAAAAGGAAAAACGAAAGTTTCTCCTTTTACATTTAGTAATATATACAGGAGAAGGGGTTACTAGCCCCTTGCTCCTGGCATTTTAGCAGCCTCTTACAACACGCATGGTTTACGGAGGAAGAATTCTGTTCCACTTCCCCATGGAGGTAAGAGGAAATAAACAAGAACAAGAACTAGAAAGAAAATAGAAGAAAACCCAGAGTGGTGTGTGTATATATATGCTTGTACATGTATGTGTAGTGTGACCTAAGTGTAAGTAGAAGTAGCAAGACGTACCTGAAATCTTGCATGTTTATGAGACAGAAAAAAGACACCAGCAATCCTACCATCATGTAAAACAATTACAGGTTTCCGTTTTACACTCACTTGGCAGGACGGTAGTACCTCCCTGGGCGGTTGCTGTCTACCAACCTACTACCTATAAATTATTATTATACAGCACATTATTATACATGTATTATTATTAGAGGCAAGACAGAATGTAGGATTGCGGATGAGCAAGGAGGTTTCAGAGTGGGTAGGGGATGTGTAGATCAAGTGTTTACATTGAAGCATATATGTGAACAGTATTTAGATAAAGGTAGGGAAGTTTTTATTGCATTTATGGATTTAGAAAAGGCATATGATAGAGTGGATAGAGGAGCAATGTGGCAGATGTTGCAAGTATATGGAATAGGTGGTAAGTTATTAAATGCTGTAAAGAGTTTTTATGAGGATAGTGATGCTCAGGTTAGGGTGTGTAGGAGAGAGGGAGACTACTTCCCAGTAAAAGTAAGTCTTAGACAGGGATGTGTAATGTCACCATGGTTGTTTAATATATTTATAGATGGGGTTGTAAAAGTAGTAAATGCTTGGGTGTTTGGGAGAGGGGTGGGATTAAATGATGGGGAATCAAATTCAAAATGGGAATTAACACAGTTACTTTTTGCTGATGATACTGTGCTTATGGGAGATTCTAAAGAAAAATTGCAAAGGTCAGTGGATGAGTTTGGGAATGTGTGTAAAGGTAGAAAGTTGAAAGTGAACATAGAAAAGAGTAAGGTGATGAGGGTATCAAATGATTTAGATAAAGAAAAATTGGATATCAAATTGGGGAGGAGTAGTATGGAAGAAGTGCATGTTTTCAGATACTTGGGAGTTGACGTGTCGGCGGATGGATTTATGAAGGATGAGGTTAATCATAGAATTGATGAGGGAAAAAAGGTGAGTGGTGCGTTGAGGTATATGTGGAGTCAAAAAATGTTATCTATGGAGGCAAAGAAAGGAATGTATGAAAGTACAGTAGTACCAACACTCTTATATGGGTGTGAAGCTTGGGTGGTAAATGCAGCAGCGAGGAGATGGTTGGAGGCAGTGGAGATGTCCTGTCTAAGGGCAATGTGTGGTGTAAATATTATGCAGACAATTCAGTGTGGAAATTAGGAGAAGGTGTGGAGTTAATAAAAGTATTAGTGAGAGGGCTGAAGAGGGGTTGATGAGGTGGTTTGGTCATTTAGAGAGAATGGATCAAAGTAGAATGACATGGAAAGCATATAAATCGGTAGGGGAAGGAAGGCGAGGTAGGGGTCGTCCGCGAAAGGGTTAGAGAGAGGGGGTAAAGGAGGTTTTGTGAGCAAGGGGCTTGGACTTCCAACAAGCGTGCGTGAGCATGTTAGATAGGAGTGAACGGAGACGAATGGTACTTGGGACCTGACGATCTGTTGGAGTGTGAGCAGGGTAATATTTAGTGAAAGGATTCAGGGAAACCGGTTATTTTCATATAGTCGGACTCGAGTCCTGGAAATGGGAAGTACAATGCCTGCACTTTAAAGGAGGGGTTTGGGATATTGGCAGTTTGGAGGGATATGTCGTGTATCTTTATACGTATATGCTTCTAAACTGTTGTATTCTGAGCACCTCTGCAAAAACAGTGATAATGTGTGAGTGTGGTGAAAGTGTTGAATGATGATGAAACATTTTCTTTTTGGGGATTTTCTTCCTTTTTTTGGGTCACCCTGCGTCGGTAGGAGACGGCCGACTTGTTGAAAAAAAAAAAAAAATTATTATACGTATTATATTATTATTATTGTTATTATTATTACAACATAAATAATTGGTTGGTACTTCTGTTTAATAAATGTATGAAAGAGGGGAAGGTACCTAGGGATTGGCAGAGAGCATGTATAGTCCCTTTATATAAAGGGAAAGGGGACAAAAGAGACTGTAAAAATTATAGAGGAATAAGCTTACTGAGTATACCAGGAAAAGTGTACGGTAGGGTTATAATTGAAAGAATTAGAGGTAAGACAGAATGGAGGATTGCGGATGAGCAAGGAGGTTTCAGAGTGGGTAGGGGATGTGTAGATCAAGTGTTTACATTGAAGCATATATGTGAACAGTATTTAGATAAAGGTAGGGAAGTTTTTATTGCATTTATGGATTTAGAAAAGGCATATGATAGAGTGGATAGAGGAGCAATGTGGCAGATGTTGCAAGTATATGGAATAGGTGGTAAGTTATTAAATGCTGTAAAGAGTTTTTATGAGGATAGTGAGGCTCAGGTTAGGGTGTGTAGAAGAGAGGGAGACTACTTCCCGGTAAAAGTAGGTCTTAGACAGGGATGTGTAATGTCACCATGGTTGTTTAATATATTTATAGATGGGGTTGTAAAGGAAGTAAATGCTAGGGTGTTTGGGAGAGGGTGGGATTAAATTATGGGAATCAAATTCAAAATGGGAATTGACACAGTTACTTTTTGCTGATGATACTGTGCTTATGGGAGATTCTAAAGAAAAATTGCAAAGGTTAGTGGATGAGTTTGGGAATGTGTGTAAAGGTAGAAAGTTGAAAGTGAACATAGAAAAGAGTAAGGTGATGAGGGTGTCAAATGATTTAGATAAAGAAAAATTGGATATCAAATTGGGGAGGAGGAGTATGGAAGAAGTGAATGTTTTCAGATACTTGGGAGTTGACGTGTCGGCGGATGGATTTATGAAGGATGAGGTTAATCATAGAATTGATGAGGGAAAAAAGGTGAGTGGTGCGTTGAGGTATATGTGGAGTCAAAAAACGTTATCTATGGAGGCAAAGAAGGGAATGTATGAAAGTATAGTAGTACCAACACTCTTATATGGGTGTGAAGCTTGGGTGGTAAATGCAGCAGCGAGGAGACGGTTGGAGGCAGTGGAGATGTCCTGTTTAAGGCAATGTGTGGTGTAAATATTATGCAGAAAATTCGGAGTGTGGAAATTAGGAGAAGGTGTGGAGTTAATAAAAGTATTAGTCAGAGGGCAGAAGAGGGGTTGTTGAGGTGGTTTGGTCATTTAGAGAGAATGGATCAAAGTAGAATGACATGGAAAGCATATAAATCTATAGGGGAAGGAAGGCGGGGTAGGGGTCATCCTCGAAAGGGTTGGAGAGAGGGGGTAAAGGAGGTTTTGTGGGCAAGGGGCTTGGACTTCCAGCAAGCGTGCGTGAGCGTGTTAGATAGGAGTGAATGGAGACAAATGGTACTTGGGACCTGACGATCTGTTGGAGTGTGAGCAAGGTAATATTTAGTGAAGGGATTCAGGGAAACCGGTTATTTTCATATAGTCGGACTTGAGTCCTGGAAATGGGAAGTACAATGCCTGCACTTTAAAGGAGGGGTTTGGGATATTGGCAGTTTGGAGGGATATGTTGTGTATCTTTATATGTGTATGCTTCTAGACTGTTGTATTCTGAGCACCTCTGCAAAAACAGTGATAATGTGTGAGTGTGGTGAAAGTGTTGAATGATGATGAAAGTATTTTCTTTTTGGGGATTTTCTTTCTTTTTTTTGGGTCACCCTGCCTCGGTGGGAGACGGCCGACTTGTTGAAAAAAAAAAAAAAAAAAAAAAAAAAATGGTAATTCTTATTCACAAAAAAAAAATTGAAGATTTACTGTTATGCAGACTACTGCATTATTGTAATAATTGTATAAATGTCAACCCATTCACGATTGCATATTGGAATGGACAGTGATGGCATTTGTTTACTCTTAACATTGCCAAAGAATCAAACATTTCTCCTGTCTTGAGCTCAATTTCAAGGTACTTACTGTTGTGAAATCAATCAAAATCATATCTGTTTCTGTAATATATCTTCCATTGTATCAAATAAGACCAAAATAAACGAGAATACAACCATAAAAACCATACGAGAACACCGCTAAGGGGAAGCTAATTGCTGAGAAGTGAACTCCATTATATATGGTCCGATTTTTTTCATTTTTGGTGTATGTTAAGAAGCATCTTTCCATCATACATTGCCCAAGCTTTAATAAGATAGTCCAGCAAACAAATGAGATCCAATTCCCTAGATCAAGAGCAAGAACCCCTCACCAGCGTCAAGGAACCTCCCTTGAGGCCTGCTCGCTGGTGGAAATTTCGCTTGCGTATGTAAGGAAAAAATCGACCGATCGACTGCTTGTATTTGGAAAAACTCACATGTGGATGCTTTCACAAGTAGAGGTTCCACTGTACATTGTTTCAGTGTTTGCCTTATGAAACTAGTGATCTAGTGCAGTTACCCTCACAAACACACTTTTCTCTTATAATAAAATCGTGGGAAGATATGGTCAGAGCAGGAGCAGGAATGGCCGCCACCACTCATCACATAACATTTTAATCATTCTAGAGTATATATGATGTTTCTATGTTATTTATATTGTTTATTATGTGATATTAGATGAATTGTGATAGATAAATAAGCAACAGAGTCTATATTAGCGTCATATTGAAGTATTTTGTCCTGCCTCCCGAGAGCAGGAATTGCGTTGGAACGGATTAATGGCATTTCAATTAACTTAAATGAAGAAAACTGGTTTGATATATAAGCAAATTGAATTATGAGCTAGGTCACGGAACAGATTAAATTCATAAGTCGAGGTTCCACCGTATTATGTCTTTCTCAAAAATGAAATGGGGAAGAAAAAGTAAAATGCCTCATGAAGACCTGATTTTTTTTTCCTTTAATACTATTTACTCTTTTTTTTTTTTTTTTTTTGAGGTTATGAATGCTAACAGTAACCAGACTATCATAACGGTTTGCTGGTAATGACTGCAAAATACCGAAGTTCATTTTTCTTGTTACCACACTAGCAGCCTCCCACCAAGGTAGAGTGAGGCCTTTCACCTAAAAAAGCAAACACATTTACCATCCTACATTAACACTTTCACTGTCTGTCACGTAGAACTACATCACTGAGGCCAGGATCCCTGATGCAAGTTCTATGTTATGAGCTCAGCTCACTCAGGTTAGCTGTCAGCTGTAAATTTTGGCCTAGATATGAGAGAATGGGTTTGGGCGGTGAGTGTGCACTGTATATATTAAAAAATCCTGCCTAAAGTGGTGTATCATTGTTTTAGTGCTGGGAATGTCTCTATTGTTTATTATATAAGAACTACTTTTAAACTGGTATTCTTTTATTTATTTTGTGAAACTGGCCCAATTACCAAGTTCTGATCACTTTATAGGGTAGTTGGAATTGGCCTAAAATAGGACTCGAAGTGGGCAAAATCACCACTGAGTAAATTGCACCGACCTCTATCTTTGCGCCTGCATAATTTCATAAGTTTTCCATCAAATTTCGTACTTCTGGTGTCATTATTTTCAGAAAAAAGATTCTCTACCATTTCAGAAGAAAAAATATTTAATTTTTTTTTTTTTGCTTTTAGAGTAAGTTTCACTTCTCAGGTCTGAACAGTGAAATGGTTAAGGTGTATGTAAATGAATTCTAAAGAAAATATGAGAAATCCTCTATTTGAAAGCTAGGTAACGGCTGCAGTAACAGAAGCATTGTCTACATTCAGTACTTCAAATATACATCCACAGCAGGACCCTATTTAATTTTAATTAAATTTTCTGAACCATAAACTTATTTCTCAAGTTAAAAACTATTGACTGTTTATTGCAATTTTTATTGTGTAGTCTACATACTTATGGCAGAACTAGCAAATGAGTGAAAGTAAATACATTTCCTTTTTATTTTTGGGTCACCCCATACCTTGGTGAGAATCAGCTGGTGTGGTGTTTTACAGCACCCAGGAAATGGGTGGCAATGAGGTTCAATCCAAGGAAGAGGAGCACAAGTCTGATAACTTGGATCAAGAGCCCCTCACCAGCATTAAGGAATATCTCTGGAGGGTCTAACATTTACTGTCAAGTACAGACTAGTTTAATGGGAATGCTTTCATGCTGGTGGGCTCTAGATCCAAGATATTTGAACTATACCTTCCCCTGTATCATTCTTATAGGTTTAGCACTTTCCCATGAATATACAGAAATAATTTTTTAACACATTGGCTGTCTCCCACTGAGGCAGGGTGACCCAGAAAAGAAACATTTTCACCATCATTCGTGCCATCATCGTCTTGCCAGAAGTGTAGAGATATAGTAATAATATTTTCTGGAAATAGGATCCCAAATAATTCAATGTCACCTTCAGACCATTCAAAACTTCAAGAGAAAATCAGTGCTATAAAACCAAGAGAATTACCTTTTTTGATGAAGCTCCAGGTTCCACTTTAACACCTGCTGGTTGGCCCCGCTGATCGGAATCTTGCTTACCATTTTTGGCATTATAGTCAACGTAACTATGTAACCAATCTGCTGGAGTGTTCTCATTTGGTTTGCCATATTTATCTAATGTTCCATCCTTAATCATGGTTTTTTTCATGCTAGCCTGAAATTTGTTTATAAAGATTAATAAATATAAAATATATGAGCACTGTATATAAATTTCTACATAGCACCATAAAACCAATAGATTATGCCTATATTTCTCAGTAATGAGTATAAACACACCATTATTTACTTGAGCACAAATTAAGTTAAATAATTCATGTTAAGCACTAAACCCATGTGGGTCAATCAGTACAAGACAACAGAGGCCTGATCCTCTATCTGCTAAATGCAAGACAGATGTGCTTCCTCTTTGTACTCAGAACTATACAGATTTAATTTCTAGAGTGATCAAAATGATTATAATTTATATACATGCATCATACTGTGCTCTTCTTATTTGAAAATCACGAGAGATGTAATTTTTGAGTTGCAGTTTTTCTACTTCTTTGAAAGCCAAAATCCACTGGGACCAGGATATTAACTTGGTCAATTTTTTTTTTTTACAACTGTTGGGCTAACAGGGTGTGACAATCTAGCAGTCCATTCTCACTTTTCAACTTAAGTCAACATCCAGGAGCCATCACAACCCTTCAACCCAACCACAAAATCACAAGCGATATTTCCTGACTTTTTCTTATTGTTTTAGTACATTTTTTTCACATACTGTAATTTTGTGTTACACACTCAAATGTGCAGAAATTTGTAAATTTTGGTCTCAATATAAGACAATGCAATTATGCAGTGGGCATGAACAATATATAGTATATGTTAAAATAGAGACTTCTGAGGCATTTTCCTTGGTGATTTTATTACCAATTCCTTAGTGCCAACTGACAGACCAGAAGACATACTACCTGTAACAAGGAAATTTTGATCAGTTTAAAATGAAGTGGCAAAAATATTTAATTCCTGGAGATTTTCCTGAGGAAAGGTATGAGCCCCTAACCCCCCCCCCCCCCCCATAGGTTTGCCTGTAAGGTTTTTACTAGGTCTGCTTCCATTATCTGGATGGCCTAAACCATGACTAAGCCTTCTGGTTATATTTTAGCTGAGGAATAGGGAAAAACTGAATTTTTGCATGGAGTGAAAGTGAAGGACAAGTGTTATACAGGAGAGGACTAGTGACATGATTATTGAACAAAGGAAAGGTTGCTTTGGTTTCTGGAAACTCTTGTGTTTATTTTAAACTTTCTAGAGATTTGCTCAATGGTGTAAAATTGGTCATACTGCTGATTTCTGTGCACATCACAGGGTAGTTCTGAGAGCTGAACGTGCAATGTCTTGTGCTTAATTGATAGAATGGAAGGTAGACTAGTGAAATAACCAAGAATTCATTTATATGATCAATGGAATTGGCCTAAAATAGGAAGAATAGCTGAAGCATATATTGCACCCAAACTACCAACCTTGCTTGTGTACTTTCAAAATGCTTCCATCAAATTTCATATTTTTGGTATCATTACACTCTCAAAAAAAAAACACCATTTTGTTTGTTTTTTAAATAGCAAAACTGACAGCACTTTTAATTTTGGGGATCATGACACTGAAAAGGTTAAACCTAGGCTCAATAAACTTACCTACAATATTACAATAGCTTCTCAAATGTAATTACATTAAAAACTGTTAAATGAGGACTGTCCGAGTGCAGTAATGCTCTGTGACATGAACCACGGACGAAAAAATACTGCTCAAGCATGAAGCTGAAGGAGGAAGTTATGAGCTAATATAACCCACACCAACTTAAGCTGCATTGTTCATAGGACACAGTCCTATCAATAATATACCAATAACTGCTATCTTTCACAACAAGTTAAAAAATTAAGCCTTCTTTAAAATTAAAAATGCAATAAAAACGTTCACTGAGGTCAACACAGGCACTCTTGTGAGTGCCAACGGCATGACAAAAATCTTACCCTACTGGAAATAGGGGCATGCTGCTAGAATAAGAGCTTGCCATCTCTATCCCCAAGTCATTCCAGTTATGTGAAAGACACACCAAGAATTATTTGCCTGTATATGGCTAAAGGGTCAGGTCTAAGCTCCTGGCCCAAATCTTCATCACTCTGCATTTGCTGAGGCTGAATTCAAGCAACCACTTTCTTAATTAATCCCCCAGTTCATCCTGAACCACTTGCAGCCTTTCCCATCTTCACCTGTTTTTTTTTTTTTTTTTTTTTTTACACAGGGTTTGACAAGGTTATGGATCCCTAGCTTTATTGACAGCTATTTACAGGTTAAGGATTCCTAACTTTATTGGCAAGCTAAGAGCTGTTACCTACATCAGCTCATTTGAAAGCATTTTTATTGTTATGAGACATACAAGTAGGAAACAGGATGAAGTTGGAGCCATCTGTGGGCCAGCATTTTCATTTGATCAACTGACTTTATCTCGTTCACATCATTATCCTGTATGAATGTGTTCCATACTCGAGTCATCCTGGGTATATATGATCTCAGATGGAGTGATGTTCTGGAGAAGGGTACAGCCAGAGTGAAGTTGCTGCTTTCTGCCCGTCTTGTGGCATAAAAGCTTGTTTCACGCTGTCCTCGAAGTGGATCCAAGTGTGGTATTTTGACAATATTGGCCTTGTACATAACAGTAAGGCCACCCAGATCCCTCCTATGTTGAAGGCTCTGCTGAAATGACAGATCTATCCAGGATGGGTCCAGGAGAGAGATGAGACGTCTTGCTCTGTTCTCTACTCTGTCAAGCAGTCGCAGATGAGAGGGGGGGGCAGGCAAACCAAGAAAGTGGAGCATACTCAAGGTGCGAGCGTACTTGTGCCTTGTACAGGATCTTGCAACCCCTACTGTCAAGCAGATGGGAGATACGGCGAAGTGCTGTAAGTTTCCTGGCTGCCTTGTTTGCAAGATTTACAACATGGTTCTTCATGGTTAGTTTGGAGTCAAATTTCACCCCAAGGATATCAACTTCTTCTCCAGGTGCCAACATCCTCCCATTCATCCTTACTACTGCACCAGCATTACCATCATGGTGCCTAGAGACGATCATCATTTGAGTTTTCTCAGGTGCAAATGTTACTTGCCATCTATTTCCCCAAGCTGATATAGCTCTCAGCTGGTGATTGATGTAGCGTAGAGCAGCTGGCATTTCTTCTCTTGGATAAGTGAATGTCAGTGTACAGTCGTCTGCATATGCATGTGATTCTGGGATGAGATGAAGGTCGTTGAAGTAGACATTCCATAACAATGGACCCAGCACGCTTCCTTGTGGAACACTTGCCCCAATAGGATGTCTTGCTGATTCCGTTCCATTGAGAACTACACTTAGAGATCTGCCATGAAGGTAATCACTGAGGAGACATAGCGTAGAGCCTGCAATTCCCAGTGCTTGAAGTTTTGCTAAGAGGCCCTGGTGCCACACCCAGTCGAAAGTGCCAGCAATGTCCAGTGCTACCACACAGCTGACTTTGGATTCATCCAGTGACTGGTGCCACTTAGTGGAAAGGTTTAACAACAGATCAGCAGCAAAGTAACCTTTCCTGAAGCCATATTGACGATCACAAAGTAGTGAGTGGTAGTCAAAAAACTCTGTCATTTGTCTTGAGATTATTGTCTCAAGGATCTTACCAGTGATTGACAGGAGTGACACTGATCTGTAGTTGCTGATTTCTGCTCTGCTCTTCTTTTTGTGAACAGGGACTACATTTGCCTCTTTCCATAGAGAGGGCCATTTACACTGTACTAGGCAGTGCTGAAAGATGCGAGTTAGAGGTGCTGCTAGCTGGTCTGCACATCTTCTCAACAATCTTGGGCTCAACTTGTCTGGGCCCACAGCCTTTTCTTGGTCAAGCGATTTAAGTAGGAAATGCACCTCCTCCTGCCTTATTGTCACCACTGACAGTTTTGACACAGTTCTTGCAGCTAGCCAAGGAGGGTCCCTTGCTGGGTCAGGAACTTGCATTTTGGTAGCAAAATGTTCAGCAAAGAGGTCCGCCTTCTCTTGACTACTAGTAGAGGTGGTCCCATCCTGTCGATTTAGAGGTGGAATAAGTTCATCAGGCAGATAACCTTGTCTGTCCTTGACCAGGGACCACCAGGTTTTGGAGCCTACCCTACCTGATGCTAACTTTCTTTTAGTGTCCACCTCCCATTTAGCAATGGCCCACTTTTGAACATCACCCATATGCCTACAGGCTTGCATGTGCAAGTTCCTGTTATAGGTGGTAGAATGTCTCTTATACCTTCGCCATGCTTTGTACTTAGCAGTAGCAGCCTCTCTACAACGAAAGCCAAACCAAGGCTGATCTGTAGGCTTCGTCACATATTGCCGGTGAGGAATGTGTTCTTGTTGTAGATTAAGGATGTGTCCAGTGAAGGCTTTCACTTGGTTGTCAACAGCCCCTTGGAGAAGAGCATTCCAGTCGGTGGTGGCGAGCTCAGAGCAAAGGGCTGGCCAGTTACCTCTTTCCCATAGCCAGGTTTAATATCTCTGATATACCTATGTTGAGTTCCAAGTGTCTTTCTACCCCAGGAGCCTGGCCATGGGCCAGGCTCAATGGGGATACATCTAATTCAATCCCATTTGGTAAGTCATTCATGCAAATCAGAAACAATAATGATCCAAATGCTGATCCCTGTGGAGCCCCACTTCTTACCCTTGCCCAGTCTGACATCTCCTTCCAGACAATCACTGTGCATCCTTCCCCTCAGGAACAAAGCAAGTGTTCATAAGACAACATTGTTATATTCCGAACATGAAGCACACCAACAACACAGGTTCTAAAGTGAATGGAACTCACCAACACAAGGTGTTATAGTGAAAGCAACACAAGACAACAGTGTTAAGAAATGAACAGGAAGCACACTATCAATAGGTGTTATAGGGCAAAGGGATGGGGGGGGGGGAGGGGGGGGGAGAGAGAGAAGAGAGAGAAGAGAGAGAGAGAGAGAGAGAGAGAGAGAGAGAGAGAGAGAGAGAGAGGAGGAAGAGAGAGAGAGAGAGAGAGATAGAGAGATAGAGAGATAGAGATAGAGAGAGATAGAGAGAGATAGAGAGAGATAGAGAGAGATAGAGAGAGATAGAGAGAGATAGAGAGAGATAGAGAGAGATAGAGAGATAGAGATAGAGAGTGATAAGATATAGAGATAGAGAGATAGAGAGATAGAGAGAGAGAAGATGAGAAGAGAGAGAGGAGAGAGAGAGATGAGAGAGAGAGAGAGAGAGAGAGAGAGAGAGAGAGAGAGAGAGAGAGAGAGAGAGATAGCGGACCTCTTTGCTGAACACTTTGCTACCAAAATGCAAGTTCCTGATCCAGCAAGGGACCCTCCTTGGCTAGCTGCAAGAACTGTTCAAAAACTGTCAGGGGTGACAATAAGGCAGGAGGAGGTGCATTTCCTTCTTAAATCACTTGACCAAGAAAAGGCTGTGGGCCCAGACAAGTTGAGCCCAAGATTGTTGAGAAGATGTGCAGACCAGCTAGCAGCACCTCTAACTCGCATCTTTCAGCACTGCCTAGTACAGTGCAAATGGCCCTCTCCATGGAAAGAGGCAATGTAGTCCCTGTTCACAAAAGAAGAGCAGAGCAGAAATCAGCAACTACAGACCAGTGTCACTCCTGTCAATCACTGGTAAGATCCTTGAGACAATAATCTCAAGACAAATGACAGATTTTTTTGACTACCACTCACTACTTTGTGATCGTCAATATGGCTTCAGGAAAGGTTACTCTGCTGCTGATCTGTTGTTAAACCTCTCCACTAAGTGGCACCAGTCACTGGATGAATCCAAAGTCAGCTGTGTGGTAGCACTGGACATTGCTGGCGCTTTCGACCGGGTGTGGCACCAGGGCCTCTTAGCAAAACTTCAAGCACTGGGAATTGCAGGCTCTACGCTATGTCTCCTCAGTGATTACCTTCATGGTAGATCTCTAAGTGTAGTCCTCAATGGAACGGAATCAGCAAGACATCCTATTGGGGCAAGCGTTCCACAAGGAAGTGTGCTGGGTCCACTGTTATGGAATGTCTACTTTAACGACCTTCTTCATCTCATCCCGGAATCACATGCATATGCAGACGACTGTACACTGACATTCACTTATCCAAGAGAAGAAATGCCAGCGCTCTAAGCTACATCAATCACCAGCTGAGAGCTAAAATCAGTTTGGGGGAAATAGATGGAAGTAACATTTGCACCTGAGAAAACGCAAATGATGATCGTCTCTAGGCACCATGATGGTAATGCTGGTGCAGTAGTAAGGATGAATGGGAGGATGTTGGCACCTGGAGAAGAAGTTGATATCCTTGGGGTGAAATTTGACCCCAAACTAACCTTTGAGAAAACCATGTTGTAAATCTTGCAAACAAGGCACCAGGAAGCTTACAGCACTTCGCCGTATCTCGCATCTGCTTGACAGTAGGGGTTGCAAGATACTGTACGAGGCACAAGTACGCTCCCCACCTTGAGTATGCTCCACTTTTTTGGGGTTTGCCTGTCCCCCTCTCATCTGCGACTGCTTGACAGAGTAGAGAACAGAGCAAGACGTCTTCTCTCGCCTGGACCCATCCTGGGTGGATCTGTCATTTCAGCAGAGCCTTCAAAATAGGAGGGATGTGGGTGGCCTTACTGTTATGTTTCAAGGCCCAATATTGTCAAAAATACCACACTTGGATCCACTTCGAGGACAGCGCGAAACAAGCTTTTATGCCACAAGACGGGCAGAAAGCAGCAACTTCACTCTGGCTGTACCCTTCTCCAGAACATCACTCCATCTGAGATCATACATACCCAGGATGACTCGAGTATGGAACACATTCGTTCAGCATAATGATGTCAACGAGATAACGTCAGTTGATCAAATGAAAATGCTGGCCACAGATGGCTCCAACTTCATCCTGTTCCCTACTTGTATGTCTCATAACAATAAAAATGCTTTCAAATGAGCTGATGTAGGTAACAGCTCTTAGCTTGTCAATAAAGTTAGGATTCCTTAACCTGTAAATAGCTTGTCAATAAAGCTAGGATCCTTAACCTTGTCAAACCATGTGTAAAAAAAAAAAAAAAAAAAAAAAAAAAAAAAAAAAAAAAAAAAAAAGAGAGAGAGATAGAGAGGGGAGAGAAGATGAGAGAGAGAGAGAGAGAGAGAGAGAGAGAGAGAGAGATAGAGAGAGAGAGAGAGAGATAGAGAGAGAGAGATAGAGAGAGAGAGAGAGAGAGAGATAGAGAGAGAGAGAGAGAGAGAGAGATAGAGATAGAGAGAGATAGAGAGAGATAGAGATAGAGAGAGATAGAGATAGAGAGAGAGAGAGATAGAGAGAGAGAGAGATAGAGAGAGAGAAGATAGAGAGAGATAGAGATAGAGAGATAGAGATAGAGATAGAGAGATAGAGATAGAGAGAGATAGAGAGAGATAGAGAGAGATAGAGATAGAGAGAGATAGAGATAGAGAGAGATAGAGATAGAGAGAGATAGAGATAGAGAGAGATAGAGATAGAGAGAGATAGAGATAGAGAGACAGAGATAGAGATAGAGAGAGAGAGAGAAGCAGCAACTTCACTCTGGCTGTAGTCTTTTCCAGAACATCAGTTCATCTGAGATCATTTATCCCCAGGATGACTGGAGTCTGGAACACATTCATACATTATCATGATGTCAACGAGATAAAGTCAGTTGATCAAATGAAAATGCTGGCCCACAGATGGCTCCAACTTCATCCTGTTCCCTACCTGTATGTCTCATAACAATAAAAATGCTTTAAAATGAGCTGATGTAGGTAACAGCTCTTAGCTTGTCAATAAAGCTAGGGATCCTTAACCTAACCCTGTTAAAAGAAAAAAAAAAAAAAAAAGAGAGAAAGAGAATGAGAAAGAGAGAAAGAGGAGAGAAAAAGAGAAAGACGAGAAAGAAAGAATAAGGGAGAAAAAGAGAGAGAGGCTAAAGTATCATAGGAAAAAGATTTCATGAATTATGAAAATTTTTTCTGAATATAGTGGACCCCCGGTTTACGATCACCTCCCAATGCGACCAATTATGTAAGTGTATTTATGTAGGAGCGTTTGTACGTGTATGTTTGGGGGTCTGAAATGGACTAATCTAATTCACAATATTTCTTATGGGAACAAATTCGTTCAGTACTGGCACCTGAACATACTTCTGGAATGAAATAATATCGTAAACCGGGGGTCCACTGTACTACCATGCTTATTTTAATACATATACACAATAAAAGATAAATGAATACCTTAGGACCTAAACCCCACTTGCGAGGGTAAGTATCTCTCTCCATAATGACCCTCTTAATTTTAGCAACAACACCGTGGTCACATGATGACATAGTCGATGTGGTCATCAATGCTAAGGCTGAAATAAAAAACAAAACTGTTAGTAACAGAATAATAGCAATAGAGTGCTTATGGGAGATTCTAAAGAAAAGTTGCGAAGGTTAGTGGACGAGTTTGGGAGGGTGTGTAAAGGTAGAAAGTTGAAAGTGAACGTAGATAAGAGTAAGGTGATGAGGGTATCAAATGATTTAAAGAAAAATTGGATATAACATTGGAGAGGAGTATGGAAGAAGTGAATGTTTTCAGATATTTGGGGGTTGACGTGTCAGCGGATGGATTTATGAAGGATGAGGTTAATCGTAGAATCGAGGAAGCAAAAAAGGTGAGTGGTGCACTGAGGTATATGTGGAGACAAAAAAAAGTTATCCATGGAGGCAAGGAAGGGAATGTACAAAAGTATAGTGGTACCAACACTCTTATATGGGCGTGAAACTTGGGTTGTAAATGCTGCAGCTAGGAGGTGGCTGGAGGCAGTGGAGATGTCATCTCTAAGGGCAATGTGTGGTGTAAATATTATGCAGAGAGTTTGGAGTGTGGAAATTAGGAGGAAGTGTGGGGTTACTACAAGTATTAGTCAGAGGGCTGAAGAGGGTTGTTAAGGTGGTTTGGTCATTTAGAGAGAATGGATCAAAGTAAATGACCTGGAGAGCGTATAAATCTGTAGAGGAGTGAAGGCGGGGTAGGGGTCATCCTCAAAAAGGTTGGAGGGAGGGGGTAAAGGAGGTTTTGTGGGCGAGGGGCGTGGACTTCCAGCAAGCATATGTGAGCGTGTTAGATAGGAGCGAATGGAGACGAATGGTTTTTGGGACCTGACGAGCTGTTGGAGTGTGAGCAGGGTAATACACCTACCATCCGACTTACGACCGAGTCTGGTTCCGAGAAACCGGTCGTAAGTTGAAATGGACGTAAGTCGAACTTTACTACTGAATATCAACATAACATTTTTGTAATGACTTTATTTTATTGTTTTATTTTGGTATTTCATGTTTTACTTTACTTTTTATGCTGTTAGCACTGTATTTTATACTGTAAGGTTTAGGATAAACACTGTGTACAACACAAATAGTTGTTTATTTCCCAGAAATTTGGCATAAAAAACACGGTCGTAAGTTGAGTTGTCGTAAGTCGGATGGTAGGTGTATTTAGTGAAGGGTAGTAGGTTGGTAGACAGCAACCACCCAGGGAGGTACTACCATCCTGCCAAGTGAGTGTAAAACGATACCCTGTAATTGTTTTACATGATGGAGGATTGCTGATGTTTTTGCTGTCTCTAAATAGAAATTACGGTATGTCTGTCTTCCTTACCTTAGTCACACTCCCCAATACAGACCATTTTTTTATCACACTCATCTATTTTTTCTTTGATTTTATTTAATTTTTCTTGTCTATTCTTTTTTTTTTATACCCATGGGGAAGTGGAATAAAATCTTTCCCCCCGAAACCATGGTGTTGTAAAAGTCAACTAAAAGCCGGGAACAATGGGCTAGTAACCCCTTTTCCTGTAAGATTACTAAAAAAAATAAAAAAGGGGGAAAAATTGTCAAAGTGGAATTTTGAATGTGCGGGGAGTTGTGCAAAGATAAGAAAGATGATTGTGGATGTTATAATGGAAAAGCGGTTTCCCTGGCTTTAAAGTGAAACAAAGCTGAAGGGAGGGGGAGATTTTAAATGGGGGAAATAAATGGGAATAGGTCAAGGGTTTTTAAATAGGTTGACTAAAAAAGGAGTGCAATAATGTGAAGGATAAGTTTATGGCGGGAAAAGGGGGACTATAAATTTTTAATTAAAGGTTTATGTGGAAAAAATTAAAAAATTTGGATGTGAAGGGGTTATAAAAAACGGTATGCACCTGGAGAAGAGAGAAGTGTAGGGGAGAGAGAGAGATTTTGGGGAAATGTTGAGTGAATGCATGGGAGTTTTAAATCAATTTTTGAAAAAATGGGGTTGGGGTTTCAATGCAAAATGGGTAAAAATGTTAGAGGGGTAGTGGTAAATTTTGGGGGGGGGGGGGGTAAATGTAAAGGGGGGAGCCTTAATTGAGCAAGGGTTTGGGAAAGAGATTTGGTAATAAGTAATCATTTTTCATGAAAAAGGGGATAAATAAATTACAGGTTGGTAAAAGAGATGTATGATGTAGAAAGAGGAGTGATTGGGGAAGATGAAGTAAGGGTGATAAAAAGAAAAAGGTACTTTAAGGGTTTTTACAAAGCAAAATGTTAAAGGAAGCAGACATGGGGAGAGTAAGGAAAGGAAAAGAGAGTGGGGAGAGTGCAAAAGGAGAGAGATGATAAGTGGGAGAGGATGTCAAAAAATTTTAATGAAAATAAAAAATTTTTTGGAGGGAGTTAAAAAATAAGAAAGCCTGGGGGAAATTGGTTTGTCGTTTTAAAAACAGAGTGGGGGATTTGATGGGGAGGGGGAGGTTTGGGTAGATGGCGAGAATATTTTGAGAACTTTTAATTTTAAAGGAAAAAGAGAGGCATTAATTTTTATGATGGCAGGGAGGTATCCCATCTTTTAGGAGTGAAGAAGAGAAAAAGTAAGTGTGGGGGGGGGTTATGTGAGGCATTACGTAGAATAAAAGGGGGTAAAGCAGGGGAACTGATGGGATCATAAAGAAATGTTAAAAAAGGGGGGGAAAATTAGTGTTGGAGGGTTTGGTACTTTTTTTAATAAATGTATGAAAGAGGGGAAGGATAGGGTTTGGGCAGAGAGCTGTTAGTCCCTTTTTTAAAGGGGAAAGGGGGGAAAAAAAAGGACTGTAAAAATTATAGAGGTATGGGTTTGGTAGACAGCAACCCCCCAGGGAAGTACTACCGTCCTGCCAGATCTGTGAAACAAAAACCTGTAATTTTTTTGCAGATGGTGGGATTGGGGTTTTTTTTTTCTGTCTCATAAACACCTAAGAAACAGGGATATCTGCTACCCTACTAACATTTGGTCCACTTCAAGCCGCACATGCATATATATATACAACATCTAGGTTTTTTCCCTTTTTTAAAAATAGTCTTGTTCTTTTTTATTTTTTCTTTTGTCCGGGGAAGTAAAAAAGAACTTTCCCCCGTAAGCATGCGTGTCTATGAGGCGACAAAAACCCGGGAGAAGGGGCTAAAAACCCCTTCCCCTGTATACTTACTAAAAAAGAGAAAAAAAAAAACTTTTAAAACTGGTTGTTAAATGTGCTGGATGTATTGGGGGATGACAAGAAACAGAGATTGCGATTTATGAATAAAAGAGTTGGATGCCCGGGCCCTAAGCAAAAACAAAGCAAAGGGGGTAGGAGTTTTTCAGGGGGGGGAAAAAAATGGGATTAAACTGGAGATCTGGGATTTAGAGCAAGGAAGGGGTAGCATAATGTTAAATGATCATTTAGGGAAAGGGAGAAAAGAGAAAAAAGTGTAAATTCAAGAATTATGTGGATTAAAGTAAAGTGGATCGAGAAGTGGGTCATAATAAGGTTATGCACCGGGAGAAGGGGGAATGCAGAGGAGGAAGAGAATTTTGGGGATTTTAAATAAAATGTAAAAGGGCCTTTAAAACCAAGTGAGGGAAATTTGTGGTAGGGGACTTGAATCCCCAAAGTAGGGAAATTTTTAGAGGGGTGTGGTAGGAAATTTTGGGGTGCCGGTGTAAATAAAATGGGAGCCCTTGTTAAACTTTGTATGAAAGGGGTTTAGTTATAGGAATACATATTTTAAAAAAAAAGGGGATAAATAAGTATAACGATATGATTGGGGCGAAATGACAGTAGTTTTTTGGTTTATGTTTGGTAATAAAAGACTTTTTGAGTAATTCGGATGTAATGTTTATAGGGGGGCCACAGATATATCAGATCCTTTCTAGTTGAGCTACACTAAAGGGGTAAAAGGTAGGGGGATAAAAGGGAGAATAGAAGCTCAGGGAAGAGAGGGGGGGGTTTTTAAAACTAAAAGGGAGGCATTAGGGTAAGTTTAAACAGCTATGGGGGAAAGATGGCTAATGAAGCATAGGCAATGGGTCGAAAGGGGTATGGGGTGGTTTAAAATTAGTGTTAGAGTGTTCACCCCGAAGTTTGTGGTTCGGAAGGGGGTGCGGGAGGAAAAAGGGGAGCGATTGGTGGATTGTGAAAAAGAGAGTAGTGGGGGAGAAAAAGTTAGCATATAGAAGTTTTTACAAAGTAGAAGTGATGCAAGGGGGGAAGGTTTTTGGAAAAAAAGAGAGAGGTTTTGGAGTGGTGAAGCAATGAAAAAAAGAGAGCAAATGAGAGATTGGGTAGATGTTTCAAAAAATTTTTGTTGAAAAAAAGAAAAATTTTTGAGGAGTTTAACAGTTAAGAAAGCCTAGAAACAAATGGATTTGCAGTTAAAAATGGGAAGGAATTTAAAAATGGAGATTTAGAGGTATTGGGAAATGGAAGGAATTTTTAGGAATTGTTAAATGTTGATGAAATAGGGAAACTTTATTTCGTGTATAGGGGAAGGAGGAAAACACTTGTGGGGGTAGGAAAAGCCAGTTGTGAGGTGGGGGAATTTTGTGGGCGTAGGTAAAAAGAAAGGGGTAAGGCAGCCGGGTTGATGGGATAAAAATAGAAAAGTTAAAAACAGGTGGGGATATAGTTTTTGGAGTGGTTGGTCAATTGTTTAATAAAGTATGGAGAGGGTAAAGGGACCTAGGGGTTGGCAGGAGCAGCAAGTTCCTTTGTAAAAACAAAGGGGATTAAAAAAAGGTGCAAAAATTATAGGGGATAAGCGTTGATGTACCCGGTAAAAGGGATGGAGATTTATTGAAAGAATTAAGAGTAAGACGGAGAATAGGATAGCAGAGAACAAGGAGGCTTTTGGAAAGGTAGGGGGGTGTGGCCAGGTTTTACATTTAAAAAATATAAGTGAAAAGATTTAGATAAGGCTAAGAGGTCTTTTTGGCATTTATGGGGTTGGAAAAGGCGTAAGAAGGGGGTGGGGGGCAATGGGCAGAGGAAGTGTATGGTTTAGGGGGTAGGTTACTGAAAGCAGTGAAGAGTTTTTTCGAGGATAGTGAGCT